TCAAACGACTTTTGCTTTCGAATTATACCAAAATCACCTGAAGTCCTCATCGTACTACACTACAGAAAAATGGTGCTATTTTGCAATGGCACTTGTTGGATCAAATATCAAGATCTCCAACTTTTGATTGCATGCTCAAGTAGCAGGGTGGGTGTGGGTCTTTCCTTCATCCACACCCTTTTTTTAAATATCAAATATTTTAAATGTTTGCCTTTTCCTTTTCCTGTGGTTGATTCTACTGGTGGTGGTGTTGGTTTTGGTTGAGTTGAAGTTGCTCCAGTTGTTGTTTTTGATGTTGACATTGATTTTTGTGCACCAGTTGATGTTGTTATAGTACTAGTTGCTGATTGATCAGGTTCAACTGCACCTTGTATACCATTACCAATAACTGCTAGTTTACCACGATAACATGAACATTCACATAATAGTAACCAACGTTCAGAATCTGGTTTTGATGTTGTATCATATTTTTTCGGTAAACGAACTTAACAAAAAAAGAGTTTTTTTTTTCCTTCAAAACTACAATTAAGATAAAATTACTTTTTCGCTTTCGTTTTTTCTTTTGTTTAGTAGCACCTGTTACTACTGCATTAATTGATTTCGAACCTGAATCAACTTGCTTTAGTCCTTTCAAAAAAAAAAATTTATATTTATTAAATATTCTTAATAAAATGATGATTAATTTACTTTTCAATTGCTTTTTTTTTTGATTTCAGTACTCGTTTACCAAATGTTGATTCAAGCATATCAGCATCAATACATTCAGATAATTGTTTAATCGATGATAATTTTTGTGCTAATCTATTTGAAAAAAAAGAAATTTTCAAATAAAACAAAACTAATTAACTTTATAAATTAGTTTGTTCAGAATCTGATTTTAAATAATGAACAATTAATTTCGATAAAGTATTTGTATCATTTGGATAAAGTCTAAAACAAAATATTAAATAGAAATAAATAAAATACCTATTAAAAATGTTTTATTATTATTAAACCTTGTGAAAGAAGAAGTTGAACATATATTAAACGACAATAAAGTGAAATACGTTTTTGTTTATTATTTTCAATAAATTTCTAAATACAAAAAAAAAATTCAATTTATTTTATCGATTTCTTTTTTTTGTTTAGTTACTTGTAATAATTGTGTTGCTTCAGTTAATTTTTTTTTGCTGTCATTAATCATGAAACCTTTGCTAGTCGAATTGTATCATCAATATCATCATTTTTTTTGTACCATTTTATCAAGAATATGTCCAGCTGTTTCATGTAATAAATATTCAAAAAAAGATTAAATATTCTTCTATCGTTTATATAAACCTGTCCAGTATAAATAGCTAATAATGCTTCATTAACTTGAACAATTTTTTTTTTGAAATGCATTTAATCTCAGTTCAGTTTCATATTCAATTGTTTGCAAAACTGATAGAGTTCAGTTAAATATTCGATTAGTAGTATCATCTTCTATAAATGGTACTCATCATTATCCTCACAATTTTCATCGTCAGATGAACTAGATGAAATTGTGTTGTTTGACAATGAGTTCATCAAAGTCTTCTTCGCTCGACGAAGTAGATAAAGTAATCTGAGATCTGATGTCAAGAATTGATCGAAATCAAAAAGAATCAACGTCCATTAGTTTACTAGAATTCAATGGATTTTGACGACGAAGCTAAAACCTAGTTCATCAAGATTTGTTCAGATAGTTTCTATTGAACAATTGTCCAATGAACGAACGATCGGCTGACAATTTCAACTGCGGATAAATTTCGACTGATCAATGAGAACAACCAAGAATCTTGATTTTATTTTGAACTTTTTGCAACAGACCTCACTCGAATTAAACATCATTGATTCATGATGAGATTTTTCAGTCAATTGTTTCATTTTTGATCGACAAGAAATCAATAGACACTTGTTATTGACAATCGTCCGACGGTCAAGAACATACCGTTTCAATTCATTGACCGTCTTTTCTTCAATTAGACTGATTCTTCTTCGATCGAAATATAAAAGAAAGACGAAAAAAAAAAAGCATCACTATTCAATTTTTCAACTATATCAACAATGCCACGAAACAACCGAGTAATAAACAGATTTGAAAAGCACATATTAACCATTGTAAAACACAATTGCCCATCTCTTGACTCATTGCCTGTCGAAATTATCTATCGAATTCTTGACGATGTTGATGGGAAAACAATTATTCTTTCGTTTCACAACGTCTGTACAAAGTTCAAGATGATTGCCAATAATTACAATCAATATAAACTCGATCTTACTTCCATCTCAAACACTAACTTTGATTTCATCTGTCATCATATTCGTGCCGAAAATCTCATCTCACTTAATCTCTCCAACGATGAGAAGACACCAGATGCAATCGATCGATTCTTCTCTCTTGTTCCCATCGATCGATTGATTCGACTTCGTTCGTTGACCTTATTACTTCAATTGAACAATAACGAACTACAAACTCGTTTGCATTCGATTTTTGCTGTTTGTCCACTTATATCTCTATCAATAAAATCAAAAGACGATGATGAACGGCAAGTACGATCTCTATTCTTATCCATTGTTGCACAATCTAATCTTCGTCGACTCGATTTTAATGTTAATTATTATCATGAATTTAACAACATTCCGTGGCCGGTCAACTGCAAATTAGAATATTTACGAATGAAAAACTGTACTATTCAAGAATTTTGTGCTATTCTTGATCATTCGTCGAATCTTCAAACATTGGTATTTAAATATTGCAGTGGAGTCAACATCAATTTGTCAGTCATGAAAACATATTCACAATTGACTTCGTTAACATTCGAAAAGTTTAGTTTGGACATATATCATATCGAGATAATTCTTTTGCACACGCCGTTACTTGTTTATCTCAAAGTTGTGAACTATGAATATGCAAGTCAAACATTATTCGACGGTTCTCGATGGGAAAAGTTCATTCAGATGAAACTACTTCAACTGAAAAAATTTGAATTTTTCTTCGCTAAAATTCCAAGTTATATCGACGGTTCTGCTGAAATGGAATCACTACTCGCACCATTTCGAACACCATTTTGGTCTGAAACAAAACAATGGACGGTCGCGTTTGCCTATCTCAAACATATTTGTCGAGTGATTCTCTGTTCATTACCTGTCTGTCTTGCCTCATTCTCGTATCATTATGGCTATCTAAGAAGTGGTGATCGTGACCAACGATTGTATTCCACAAAACCGACGACTATGAAAGAAGTAGGTTGTTAATGATACAGGAGCATTCTTTTCTTGAATACATCTATTCTTCCTGAACAACTGTTCACTTAACAGGACTCAATCGTTAAAACTCGAGTATATAGATGGATAGATAGAAACAAAGAGAATCAGTAGGAGAAATGAATGTTTACAAGTAGTTGGTGAACGAATAAAGAATTTTCAGTTTTTACTGTTTCTCTTTTTTTTTCGTTCAAAGGATGATTCAACTCAATATTTGTTTGACAATTTGACTGAACTCAAACTTAATATGTATGGACGATTACCTATCAGATGCATCGATGTTCTATCAAGATGGATCGATCTTTCACAACTCATCGAACTTTCTCTCACCATTGGTTTCTTTTCGGATTCGATTCGACAAGCAATATACCAAGTCACTACTTTGTTCGAAGGAACTTGCAACCTTCGATCATTGAAAATGTTTGCTCATCGATCTCCTAGCTGTCGAATGAAATTTATTGCTGGTATTTCCAAGGTTCTACCTCATCGTCTCGAATATCTAAAAATGAATATTATCAATGTTGATGAATTGACAATTATTTTCAAACGACTCGTGCACTTAACCAGTGTCACATTGGAATTATCATTGTTAGGAACTATTTCTAGTGTAGAAATCATCGACTGGCTCAACATTCATGTAATCAATTTCAGCTTTCGAACGGATGAATCAAATGTTTATGTTTGGTTGGGAAAATATATCAATAAGTTATCAGAAAACAAACGAGGAGCCAAAAGTATTAAGTTGGATCATAATCATCACTAATATTTTGTTTTCTTTTCATATTATTTATTGTAATTGAAAACTGTTGAAATCTTTGTTTCATTAAAAAAAAATGAAGAAAGCAATTATTCAGAAATCAGATAAATAATAGATTCAAGTCTAATGGTGTACAAAGAGAAATCATCAATTGATGTTTGCATTTTTGTCTTGTCAAATTTCGAAATGTTCAACTCAGACCTAAGTAATTTTTCACGGTCTTTCGAATGAGATAATGTATTTCAAAATTAAAAAAAAATTTGTATGCTAGTATGCGGATATTTTGGTCACTTTTCTTGTGGATCGTCTCTTAAGCGACAGATTATTTAAAGTAACACATATTAAAAATGGAGAACATGATCATAGTTTAAAAAAATCAGTCTAAATAGTGTTTTCCAGTGACTAATCAATATATACATATAGTTGTTCATATTGGCATAATCAGATCCATATTTGAATATGATTGGTATACCCTGAAGTTTTGACAATTAAACATATTGATGGTAAATGAACTTGTAACCTTCAAATAAGTTCATATGTGTTTAATGAATGTTCATCGTAAGATTTATTATTGTCGTTTGTTCGTAATTACTGTTTGGAAGTCTTTTTATTGTTCCAATAAATATATAATGACTGAAGTTTGATTATGTTTTTGACAAGATTAATTATACTTTCAAGATTGTTAACTTCAATGGAAAGAACTTCACATTGAACAGTTAAAGGTGAACAACTTAATATAATATATTCTTCATTATTAAAACAATAATTATAATATTCTAAATGGAGTCTATGAAGTGATGCATTTGTACATTTGAATAGTGATATTTGCAAAGGGAATGATTCATCTTGATTGATTGTTAATGTGTAAAGATTTGATACTCGATTTAATAAAGTTTGTAATTAAACTCGATAATTATCAGCATAAGATAATACATTGAGTGAGCATAGTCGATTTAAACTTCAAACAATAGACCAAAATTCATCATGAATAGGAAATTTTATATTAAGATATTCAATGTTGAGAAAACGAATGTGAGAACGAATTGATTGAGTAAAAAATTTGGTATCATGAATGAATGTCGTATTATTAAAACCTTGCTGATAATCTTCCTGAGAACATGTCAATTTACATTTTTCATCAATACTTTCAAAATAATAATCTAATGATTCAGATAGAATGTAAAGATGAATCAATTTATGGTATGTAAAAACATCGGAAGAAACCGTTGATGTTCTTTAATCGAAAATGAACTTCGAAATAAATTCATTAGTTCATTAATTCGTTCTTCTAAATTCGATTAGACTCAAATTTGAAATAATAAAATCGAAATAGTTTGTGAAAAAGAAAGTTGAAACATTAATTGAGATTATTAAATGCATGAAGAAGATTGATATTATCGAAATAATTGAATATAGTAAAAAAGATTTCATTGGATAATAATTCTAAATTCATTGTATTTTTCAGAAAATAATATTCCATATAAAATAAATGCAAAGAATAAATAAAGTTCGATAGTTTTTTATTCTTATTCACTATAACAGTTGACTTGTTTTGTTTTATTTGCCACTGTTCAATGTATAAGTTGGCTTTATAGATAGTATGGAATCTAAAAACAAAACGACAATGAAAAATGAGAATCGACTTCAACAAAACATAAGGAATGATGGGGGACATGACGCATCCAAAATGACCATATAATCTGTCATGATTGATTGTTAGAAACGCTGCTATGTCTAGACCATTTTGTTTGTTGATCTTGTCCTGATTAGTCAGTAGAAAACGACCAACAATAAAATGCACCGAGCATAATGACAGGAGTTGAAACACAGTCTTTGCAAAATCTATTAAGTTAAAACATAGCTAAGAGAATAAGAACAAATTTAATATATTTTGAACGTTTATGAAAATAAAAATAATAATAATAAATGCATATGGTGGTGATGCGTCGAGCGGGACTTTCTTTTGATTTGGAAAGACTCGCGACAGTTTTCTCTGATTTCGGAAGAAATTTACCTAACATTTTTGTCTTATTTTGTGAGAGAATTGTCTTAAATCTTCTATAGTTTTGAGAAAAAAATCGTCTTAAACTTTCTTCAATTGGCAAGAAATTTTGGTTCACATGTTCCGATTGGTAATCGTCGATCTTTATTATCTTTGTCGA